CATTCCAGTCACCAAAAACAATAGAATCAATTATATTTATAAAATGGTCGATTACAGGTTAAATGTTCAAATAGGTTTGCAGTGCCAGGCATTTTTTCGCGGTTTAAAAGATTTAATAGAGCCTAAATGGTTGAAAATGTTTAATCAGGTTTGTTCAATTTTAAATTTATGTTTGGCTTATCATAACTTTTATTTATGCCATTATTTCGAACAGCAAGAGTTACAAATTCTTGTGGGAGGGGCGTACATTCCTATTAATATAGAAGATTTACAACAAAACACTGTGTACGCTGATTACAAAGAGGACGATCCCGTCATTATCAATTTTTGGAAAGTCGTATCTGAATTTTCCGAGGAACAAAAGCAAAAATTAATAAAATTTGTTACATCTTGTTCTCGACCTCCTCTTCTTGGTTTTAAAGAACTGAACCCAAAGTTTAGTATACGTAGAGCTGGTACTGGTGCAAGATTGCCATCGTCAAGTACATGTGTAAATTTGCTTAAATTACCGGCTTATCCTGATGAAAACACTCTGAGACAGTATGTTCATCTGTTTATAAATATCGTGTTTTTACCATTTTACATAACGCATTTTAAATTAAATTTCAAATTTAATTACATACATTTTAGAAAATTATCATATGCCATTAATGCTGACGTTGGATTCGAACTTTCTTAATATTATTTTGTTGATTTTTAATGTAACGAAGGTTATGATTATTATATTATTGATCTGCTAAATATCGTGCATTAGCCATTGGATGGCTTTTAAAGTTTTATGATGTTTGTTTTATAGTTAGGCTCTTTAGGCCAAGTTGATTATCTGTTTAACATGAGATGATTTGCATGAGGGGAGTGGGGAATTAAAAAAAAAACACACTCACACAATAATATTAGATACAAATTAATGCTGCAATCTTGTTGGTTAGTTTGATGTGTATTGACTTATATAGATTTTGAAAAATAGAGGGGTTTATTTAATATTATGTGTATTAGTTTCTATAATTTTTAGAAATTGGGAGGTGGAGTTATGTTAAACGGAAAATCAAACTGGTCTGGCCTTATTAAGAAATAAACAAATAAAAATTGCAATGATTTAATTCCTTTATCTGAAAACTTGTGCATGAACTTTTTATATTTGCGTGCGAGATTAATTTAAACAAAGTTGATGGCGGAATTGCCAAAATAAAGAAAAAAAAAACCCTGAAAACTTAGTTCTTGCCTTTGATTCAACTTTGAAAAATTCATTATCAAAACTTCATCATTAGATATATATATATATAATCATATAACGTTAAAATTAGTTTTGTCTAAATTAGATGAAACTAATTGAAAAAACTAGTTATAAAAAGGATAAATATATACATCGCACTATGCGATACACTTGTATATCGCGCTTATATATTAACGCAAAATCAAAATCCATTTTTATATATCAATTAATCGGTTTAACACTTGTATATCGCGTTTATAGATAAACAATAATTGCAAATCCATGTATTTTTATATCAATTAATCGGGTTTAATATTAGTTTAAGGTTGATAGTTAAAGATTAGGGTAGAATATAGTATAAAATTTTGCAAGGAATTTTTTTTATACACGATTTTTTGTTACCCTGCAGATACATAATTTAATTGGTAGATTGTTAGAGTGTAATATATTGGTGCTTTGCATAGTGTGATGTCTAATTAAGCCCTTATAAAAAAATCATATAAATTTAAATTTAGGACTAGTGACTTAAAATAGTGTTAATGATATTAAAAATGATATTTTCTGGGATCTAGCTTATATCACATAAGTGGTTGTAATTAGCATGGTTGAATATCCACCTGATTGGCTGATGATCAATTATTTTTTTCGCGATTTTGATTGGCTTACTATTATAAATATACTTAATATATACGTAGCATAGCCTCAACTTATTAATATTATATTTTACTTTCTCTAAATGCAAGC